GTGTGAGGTCTATTGTTTTGGTTTACACAAATTGCGAAACAGTTCAAGGCATCAGATCTACTGGTTTGCTAGTTATACTCGATAGATTTTCTCAAGTGATGGTTCAAAGCTAAATGCTACATATCCTATACATGATTGATTCGTTCTACTCTCTCTTTCTCTGGTTTTCAAATTTTCATTCATGTGGAAGATTGTTGGAAAATGATAATGAAATCAGTTCAGAATTGAATGAAAAGTTGAAAAGTCATTCCATTACACAATTGAATGCAAGTAACATCAGTTTCTTCCGTTGCAATACACAAACGTCTTCAGCTTCATCCTGAATGCTGTAACTCATTATTCAATATATTAAAGAGTTGGCTCATTCTCTATGAGTATAAATAGGAGATTGCTCTTGGTTGGAAAACACAATAAGAGAAAGATACAAGCTTTATTCCCTTCCAACATCAAACTTCTTCCTTTTGATCTTAAACTTTTCTTTCCTGATTCCTTGAGAGATAGAGTATATCACAACTAGTTCGTAGGCGATTAACGTAGTGCAGCGTGAATCGACAACTGATTATATCCTAAAAATCGAACACCGATCATAACCTCTTGCACTCCGGTGATGCGACGAATTCGATTTAAAGAAACCGTGTAAACACGAGCCATCAATTTTTGATTGATTTACTTTGATTCTCCAATTTTTCCCAACAGTGGGTTCCACACAATATGAGAGCCAATGCATGTGAGCATATGACTAAGCTTAAAAGTTACTTTTTTCTTGAAAATATGTACTTTCAAGAGAAGTTAACTTTTTGAAATCCCTGTAAAACCAATCTCATTGAACACACGAGTTTACTTTCAAGTGTCGAGAAGAATGAAATAGAACGCTACTAATTGGCGGTAAAAATTTACAACTTGTGGAGATTAGAAACAAAAGGCCAAGGTTTTACAATTGCTGATTTTTACATCCTTAAATTTACTTAGAAGAGATATCGTATACGACAAAATGAAAGCACAAGACGTAACAGGCCCTTCACCTTTGTGACTTTGACCCGAAAGGCATTTAGACACTGAGTTGTTAATCAAAATTTACACATAAGACAACATATATTGACTCAATTGCGAGGCTCACCCTTTTGGCGTTGCTCCCACTTAAAACTTCCACCAGATTGCTCTGTT